TAATAAAACTATTAAGATTCAATATCAATAGAAATAAGCATGATCTTGGAAGCTACAAAGTCTGAATGTAAATTCTCATCTATTATTAGACCATGAATAGTACATTCCCAAAAAGAACTGTCATTGCCTTTGTCTCCTAGCTGTAACACTGTTTTCGTTATTTTTGCTTGGTGCTTTAGGGACCAGTTACCACATCTACATATTAAAATGTATACTTTTACACATTTAAGATTAAAAAAAGCATTGGGTATGTGGGAAAGGTTTTAGCCATTGTTATAAAAATATTACATGTTATCTTCTAAACTTTATGGAAGTTTTTGGCCTCATAGTTGGAGAAAATAGTTAAGGGTAAAAAAGCTTTTTCAAGGCTAAAGAGCAATTCAAAGATCTGAGCCTCAATTGCAGTTTCTACGCCACATTTAATACATGCAATATGATATGTAAATCTCTGTACACCGAACATGTATCAAGTGGACACCAAAATGTACTAGCAGACACCTTAAGCTTTACAATATGAAACAGATGCTAAAAATAAAGCACTATGAATTGTGGTTCTCTCCAGGAAAAAGAAAAAAAATAAGACTAGTCGCCTGTTGTGTAGTGTTAAGGCATTTATTTTTTTTTTTCAGATTAACTGCTACAGAAGCAGTACCTGGTGTGGCAACACACAGAAGATGAGAACTAACAGACCTCATTTCCCAAATTTATCAATTATTTGATAGTGTTTAGCTCGGTTAAGCACAGTATAATGCCAGCGAATAATTCAAACAACCTGATGGACTATTGTAAAGTTAGGTGCTCTCTTTTTTCACTTTACAAACATTTTTTGTACTTTCTCTACATATTCAAGTGCTTAAGGCACAAGGGGAGACTGAATTTGGAAGAAATACTGGACTTTGGAACAATGTAAATTTAAACTTGCAAACAGCAAAACTGATTGAAAGATTGAAGAATATAGTAAAGGCAAGAAATCCAGGCTGGGCTATTAGTGCCTCTAATCCTAAGTGGATGAGTAACTAAAAATAAACTACTTTCAATTTATTCAACAATAACATCCAGATAATAAAAATTGATTCAAATGCTGAAATAGTTACCTGTTAATTCTATAAAGGAATGAAGAGCCATCATAGTAATAAAACAACTATAAGGCTTCATTAATTACATAGTTCATATTAACTAATAGCAACCAATAATCAACAAACAAACAAACATGTTATGGTGGCTAGAGATTCATTCACGTCTATGGTTTGATCCTTCTACTAACTCCGTATAACATTAAGTTAGTAATGAAATTTTGTTGGGCCTCACTTTCTAAATTTGTAAAATAGTGGGCTAAACTAGATGATTTCTTCTCATTCTAAATAGTTAACTCTACAATTTAGATCTAAAAAGTAAACCTAAACAAAGTACTAAGTCTTAAGTATTTAAATAAAAAGGAAGGCAAATGTTAATCTGAAAAGGTAAATCAAGATTTATTTTTGTTGTTTTTCTCAATGCATTCTTAATCTTAAAAGAAAAAGTTCACTTTTCTTGCCTTTAGTGAATGAAAATTCTAAATAGAATTTCAGGTTAGTCGATTATACGTGGACAGCTTATCCCAAAGGGGTAGGTTTTGGGAAGTGTTTTGATATTGTGGGAG